GAAAAAAAAAAGAAAAAGAATAATAAAAATAGAAAATTTAAAAAAAACAGGAACAAAAATTTTCATGTACATTAGATATGAATAGACTTGAGGGCAGGTGACATTCTTAAAAAGGCTCGTGCGGTGATTTATTTGTATATGGAATTCTACTCTATATAACAGTTAAGAGTTGTGTTGGATTTTTGTTAGTACAATATTTCACATACATTAACATATACATATATTATACATATATGTACAGATTATATCAACTGGAAATAAAAAGAGTAAATATTGAAATTTCATATTGAATTATAAAATAATATTAAATAATATTTACACACTCACACTCAACAACATGCAATATGGATCCCTCCATAGCTGTAAAAAATAACTACATACATTCTTATTGGCTTTCAGAAATTTGTTTGTGGTTTGGTTGACTTCGGTTTCTTGTATTTTTGTATATAGCATTAAATTGAAATCGTATTTTGTTTTATTGGAATTGTGAGATTTTCGATATGGATTCGGGATTCTAGAAATGTTGAGCTATTTTAAAGTAGGAAAATATTTTTATAATATGCTTCCAAACAAACTCAGTGTAATAATATGTTCATCTCAACTTTTTACATAAACTCGCACATAATTAGATTCGTAGATTCGTAGATTCTAAGGGAACCGAGTGGGACAGGAGTAATCCCCCAAGCCACCGCAGCCATTTTTGACTTATTGTAGCCCCTCCACTCTCCCGTCTATAATATCCCCGTCCCAACTACAAAGCCGGAGATATCCGTAAGGGAGTTGGACAACAGTTCCCGAACACTTAGGGACCCATGTCCAAGACAATTGCGGCGCCGAACAGCCAGTGCCGGACAGTCGCAGAGAATGTGCACGGCGGTCTCATCGCCACCCCCACAAAATCTGCACAGTGGGGCGCCCGACTTCCCAAACCTATGAATGTGGTACTTCACTGGGTAGTGTTCCGTGAAGAAATTCGCAATAGTGCGAACCTGGCTCCTGCTCATCCCCAGCAACTCCGCGGCGAATCCGCCGGAGCACGCCGGAAGAAACACTTTCGCATGACGGCACCCTTTCGTGTCCCGCCAGTGACGGCCGCATTCCGCCGCGAGCAGGCAGGCAAGCCTGGCCCCCACGGCGGAAGAAGGTAGACCGCAGAAAGGCAGCGGCTGCACAAGATCAGCCCCAGATCCCCTCTGCGCCAGCTGGCACCCAAATGAGCGTCACTCTGTTCTGCGATGCCAATTCCATAAGTGCAGCAAGGCAGCTCCAGACCAGCTTGGATGTAACCTGAGCTGAACGAAGCGCCAGCAGTGCAGCCCTAATGTCTGAGAACACATAGATGGTGCGGTTTCTATACCCCCCTTCCAAATTGATTCTCAGACAGATCTCTATTGCATGTAATTCAGCCTGGAACACTGTGCCGGGTCAAGGGTGGCATATACACGTGTGTCCGGCCGGACACCGTATACGCCCGAACCCACACCCGACTCCGTTTTGGATCCGACCGCATACCACACGCTCGAACCCGACCTAAGTACCGGACCACCCCGATCCCACGTCCATCGATCGGGAAACAGAACCGTGGGCCAACTTTAGCCCTGCCCCGTGCTCGCCAGAGAGAAGTCGGTAAGTCACTAGCCGAGTTTCTTTCAATATATGGAGGTGCCGTGACGGCAATCCGATCATCACCTCCAATGCAGCGGTGGGAGCAGTCCGCATTGCCCCGGTCACTCCCAGGCAAACCAGCCTCTGTAGCTTTTCCAGCTTGGCTCGAACACCCGCCTGTGCATCGTCCCGTATGAATCTATCAATCACCTTTTCCGACGCCTTGGCCTTATTGAATAGCTTTCTGGTCTTTAGTCTAAGCCTTGAAAGCTCTTCATTCCACCACGGGCACTTCCTATTGCTCCGCCTCGGCTTAGCGCGGCAGCTCCCGTGGTAGGCATTAATAATAGCCGCCGTCGGGACCTCGCTGGCCAGTTCGATATTCATCACCGTTCTGACAGAAACAGGAACGGATCCAATCCCATCTATGAGGAGCGTTTCGAATTGACTCCAATCTGTGGATTGGGGTACCCGATATATTTCTTCTGCCAGGCCCTCGGATACCATAATATCAAACCTAATCTGCCTATGATCGGACGTGGATGTCTCATTTGAGACATGCCATTCACCAATCCTACTGCCGATAAATTCAGTGCAAAGGGTGATGTCAAGGACCTCTTCCCTAATTGCATTTATGAATGCGGCCTATTGCCCTCATTCAGAACCATTAATTTATTGCTATATATAAATTCAAGTAGGCACTCACCTCTTTTGTTTATATTGCTGCTTCCCCAGACGGTGTGGTGGGCATTGGCATCACTTCCTAATATAGGTTGGAACTTCATCCTTCCACAAAAGTCCACTAGATCCTTCAGTTGCTCGTCCGGGTGGGCACAGTCCCCCGGGAGGTAGGATGGGCACACAATGAACTCTGTCCAGCCCCCGAAGGACTTCACCTTCAACAACGCAGCTACTTGATCCTTAGAACAGTAATCTGGAGTGGGAAAATACGTTAGCCTTTTACTAAACAAAATGCAAGCCCTAGGCCTGCCCCCAATCGTATTATCATACAATAGCTCACCTGTTAGGCCCTTAACCTGATCCTTCACTATATAAGGCTCTTGGATAAGGGCAATATCGAGGTGATCCTTCATAAATCTATGAGATAGAACATCAGTAGATGCCCTAGCATGCTGTAGATATATTTGGATGCACCTCACAGCCATATCATTTCCTCCGGCTCTTGCCTATGGGCTTTGGCCCTTTAGACAAAGGCTTTACATGAACCTTACCTCCCATTGCCGCCTTTTACACATCTTGGTGGAAGCCTGGCCTGCCACAGCTTCTTTTGCCGTCCCAGGTGCCACGATAGCCCCTCCAACAGCAAATACCGAAGCAGTTCCGGGCTTCCCAATGGGCTTGAGCACTTTTGGTTCACCCGGGACGCTTGTGTTTGGCGCGCTGGTCGATGGTCCTTCCGTTTCCCTTGCCGCCATTTTCGGAGCGACTTCAGATTTTCCAATGAGTTTTGCCTCTTTTGGTTGGCCTGAAGTGCTCGTCGTTGTCGCGGTGGGCATTGGTTTTTTATTTTGTCCTGCCCTGCCGCCAGCACCTTGCGAGATTTTCTTCCTTTAACCCGAACGGTAACACGGAAGAAATTCAGGAAAAGTACGAACTCCGCTTTCCGTAGATCTTCCAATCCAGAATCATCCACGAAAAAGGTGATGGAGCAGCATCCGTCCTTTTCCTTATCCATCCTCAGCACCCTCCAGGAACTTATCTTGAGGCCGGGATTTTGCTTCCCTATCCTACTTAAAAATTTGTTCCTGGAGAGACTGACGGTTGTCTCGTCCTTTGGTACGTAGGTGACGCAGACATGCTGTTTGGGTATGTCGTTGCAACCGTCCCAAGGCTTTATTTTCCTGCAGACACTGGTTATCCACTCCCTGGTGTTTTGATTGTTGCATGTTACGGATATCCATCCGTCCCGTTGCAACGCTGCAGTGAATTGTGGATGAGAGTGTACAACTTTATCCATTTCATCCATGATGGCTACTTTGATTTTCCCCATCTGAACTTCGGATAGCCTTTCCTCTGGAAGCAGTCTATGAGTGGTGGCCACCTTTTCCTCTACTGGCGCGAGAAGAAGTTCCTCTTCTGTGTCAGTCGAGAGAAGCTCTGGTTCCGAAGACCCTTGAGCACTAACTGGGTTTATGTTGTCCTCAGTATTGTTATTGTTGTTGTAATTGTCACTGTTGTTGTTGTTGTTGTTGTTGTTGTTGTTGTTGTTGCAGTTGTTGTGTTTGTCACAGTTGTTGTTCTTGTTGTTGCTTTTTTTGCTGTTATTGTTTCTGCTTTCCATTTTTGGTCCCACGAATAGCGCGGGAAAGTAAAGTAACCCATGGCATAGCCCGGCATACCATGGGAAGGCTCGTTTAAACTGGAGGGCGCCTGGTATCCAGAGTCCGCATACTAACGACTAAGCTCCCCCTTAGCCAGGCAGTCATCGGCATATGCTGTTTCACCTTGACTTGGGACGTCTCTCGTCAGCTGACGTATAGATATAGGGCTGAAAGTCACAAAGTAAGAGGCTCGCCGCGAGACATGACCACGACACGAACATAACTTTGATCGTTTCAATCACCCCTTTATCCTCCGCCATTACCGGGGCCCACCACTAGGAGTTGACAGTGCGGTTTTGGGGCCCCGCACATAATTAAGTATCTTCAGTGTAAATTTAAATTTTGTACTAATGTGACACGTGAAACTCGCTACTTCTAAAGATATTTTTAAAAGTATGCCAATTCAGGAAACTAATTTTGCATTTCATTTCAATATATTGTTTATTTCAAGCTTTAAATTCATGAGTCATTTCAAAAAATAATGCGAATATAAATTGTAAATTTAATAATACTTTACAAGATTTTGAAATGCATACACAAATTTTCAACAATCAACGTGATCGTCATTTTTCCTATTGATTTCACTCAATATAGCAAAAAACTAATAAATTATATAACACATGTTTTAATGAATCATTGCACTAAACAATTTTACATTTGAAAGTTCTTTTTCCATGCTTAATTTATAACCTTAACAGTCACCTACAAATTGCATAGGATGTGCGACAGAAGCACCCGTAAATTAATTTCATATTTATTGTTCAAGAAACTTTATAAGTTTTTGAAAATTAATATGAGATTTCATTGTTTGTCCACATTTAAAATAATGAAAATTTCACTTTAATTTTCCAATATCGCAAGAGTTTCTCCACAACGTTGCTTCCTTTCCTATATAAGCAAAGATGTTGATTCAAAATTATATTGTTAAACTATGTTCACAATCACAATAATATTGCAATAAAATTTAATTAAATTAATATTAATTAACATATTGTTCTTAAAATTAAACAATTTATTTAGAAAATCTGTTATATAATTAATTTACAGCCAAAAAGATTATAAAAACAAATTATTTTGATGCCGCCACCTATAATTCACTACATATATCAACATAATGGATTTACATACAATATCAACAGATGGCAGCATCAGTGGCACTAGCATTAGCAATAACAACAATAATAATAACAATAATAACAATAATTCATCAGATTATACGAATCGAACAGCACCAATATATTCAATTAAACCGGATTTTATAACACAATGGTAAGTTAAGAAGATTATTTAATATTACACATTTATATACATATATTTTGTTTCATGTTGTTCATAATATTTTGAAAATAGGATCTCGAAAAAACTTTATCCTCTTCAACGAAAAACTGTAAATTTTGCCATGCTCTCCTAATTCGTGCCATCCTTTGCCAATCGATACTGTTTTATTTGTCAAATATGACGTCATATTTTATATGACAAAAATCAGAGACGAAATAATAGCAATTACTATGACATTGAGAGGAATTTGTATCAGATTTCAATTCATGGTTGAAAGTTTTGTGACGCGGGCAAATGTTTAACAATTAATATAAAAAATACTACATAAAAGGAGCCGATATGGCAGGACACCAGAATATCAGATCTCTATGGTACAATTCGAACAATATCGGAAAATATGTGCGCTTTATAGTTTCTTTCGTTCCGCCCGCCTGTTCACAAATACAAAACGGCATCTTTATGCAAGTTGTAAGAGTATCAAGTCTAAGTTAATTATGGAGTGTAATAAATGACTTATTTTCTCTCAAAATTTTCATAGGGTGTGTTTATAAATCAATTAAATATAATATAGTAATTTACTTGAAATTTCTATTAGACTTTCTATTCGAAAATAAGAAAGTTTCCCGCTACAACATAAAATTATTCTGTATTGTCTAAAAACGTATTCAAAGTCATCCCTTATTTAATTAAATTCATTGTATAAAAATAATAATTTAATATTCCAATGATCTTGTACTAACAAGGATCCTTTACATTTTTTTAAACATAACAATAAAATATCTACTGTTTCCTACCATTAAAAAAATTAATAGTTATATTGACATAATAAAGGCGTATTATGCAACTGAATCACATTAATTTGGTCCTTCACAAGAAATTATTCGAAATAAAACTTATAAAACCTTTTCAATCTCAAAAATCTAAAAAAATTACGGAAATCAATTGGGTTGCGGGTGATTCTGTACATCCGGTCGTTGTTTTATTTCTAATATAACGTTCTGTTTTTATTTACTCCGGAAAATGGTTATGTTTTTCTAGGTTATTCAAAAAATTTTTAACTTTTTGTAGGTGTATAAAAAATCTTACTCAAGAAAAACGAGAAACAATTAACACATTCCGTGCGGGAAGCATGAAGGAAATACATTTCTAGATGAATTTCACGAATTGAGAACCGAAATTTAAGTTCTAATCTAAATCTAAAAATCCACCAGAACAAAAAGATTCCAATAATTTATAGACCTAATTTTTATTCTTTCACAATCAACATAATGCAAAGTAAACGACCAGAAATGATTTTTCTTCAATTTTATTAAATGGCCCTTGCCATTTTTTATTATTTTGAAATATCAAAAAACATAATAAAAAAAAAATCGATAACAAACCTGTTTTATTTTTATTGTACAATAAAAATCAGATTTTAAGCGCTATAAAATATAACAATCCCAACGATTCCTCATACAAACACACAATTAAAATAGGTATTTCGATATATTACTCCCATAAGAACACACATCTAGTTGCTACATACATACGTACAAATATATATAAAAGATGCTTTATATGTATGTATTTATTTTGTACATATGTGTGTGTATGTAAATATTTACGCACACGAATTGTACTTTTGTTTTTTATTTCATATGTTCATTGTTTTGACATTAATTTTAATATGATGTTTATAAATAGATAAAAAGAAAACAAAGACCTGTTGTTCTACAACATATTTAATATACATATAATGTACATACATGATATGATAAAATTGGGGTTACCATCTTGCAAGTATTTTATTACTATTTATACTTATGCATTAAAATGGAGGTACTAAAATTTATTTCACTTTCATCTCTTTGTTTACGGAGAGTTTTGAGAAATTTTTACGAAAAAAAGCTTTCGAGCACGAAGATCAGTTAACGTTTTATATAAAGAGGAAAGAAATGAGTAAAACATGGACAGCTTTCTTGAAAAAGTCAAAATTTAATAGCTTTTGCTTTACTTCTATATTACAATCTCTTTGTAAATTATACACAATAAAATGAGTTTTCGGAAAATCTTGTGTACCTTTAGTTGCAAATTTAGAGAATTTATTTAAAACTGCTATTAATTTTTATCCTGAAAATTAAAACTGTATATATTTGTTCGACACAAAATTTATTTTGGTATAGAAGTCGTGGTGCTCTCGCTATATTAATAAAACAGCTCAAATTTTTGCAATCATTGATTTGTTCATTTAGCATTCGTTTTCTTTCTCCATTATCGTAATATCCTGCGATTACCAGTACTATCTTTGACCTCTAGTTTTACACATTAGGCAACGATATTATAATGTGATGCCCCCTTTATTTGGCTGATTGTACAACAAATTTATTTTTTTAGTTTTGTCAAAATGGTAATCTCGTATGTACCTTGTACGTAAAACTTGCACATCAAAATAAAACAATACAAAGAAACGTGAATAAATATTATGCGATATCATATTAGATGAATCCTTTTTCCTCTTTGCATATTTTCTTTTCTTTCTGTTTTCCTTTTCTGTTTAATATTAATTTTATAGCGTCACATATTTAAATGTTATGACGTGAATTAATATCCTTGAAATGTTTTATTCTATTTTCTCTCATTCTTATAATAATTCCAATTTCTTTTTTTGTCTTTAAAGATCAAATGAAAGAAAAAAATTTCATAGGAGTTGACTCATTATGCAAAACAAAAAAAAATTAAATAATAGAAAAAAAAATTACGCGTAACACAAAAGGGTGTTTAAAATTACTTTTCGATCTTTTACAAAACAAAAAAAAACCAAAAACAATTTTTTTTCCTTTTGGATGGAAAAAATGAAATTTCCAAAAATACAACAACTGAAAACCAACTTTCTGTTATTAAACAGAGTGATAAGCTTTTAAATTATTTTTATTGTTATTATTTAAAGCCAAAAAGTTTTGTTAGTCCTTTTGACGAAAAGGTAAAAGTTTAAAATATGATTACGTCTACCTTTTTTTCTCCTGTGTATCCTCATAATAGGTGTTGTTTTGAAAAAGGAATGTAAATAACTGTATATAATATTGGATATAACAAAAAAAGGACTCTGAAATTAAATAATAAAAAATTGATGTTTTATTTTGCAATTAAGAATAAAATTTTATTGAAAAGGTTTTATTTTTTTTTCGAAAATTCAAATGGTTTTTCGGCCGAAGGATTCCGTTTTTTTTATTATACAAATAAAAAATCTTTTATTAATAAAATTATTTAATGAAATTGAACGGTTGCTTGCAATGTAAACCGGAGTGAGGGGCTTATTACTTAAAGTGCTCTATTTATGATTTAATTTTCGCTCTTTGGACATATTTTTTGATAAAATTACTATTTCTATTCTAAAAACGTCAATAGCAGCTCTAATAAAATGTTTACTAAATAAACACCCTTGAATAGGTAAATTGTAAATTAATGAAGGGAGATATGGGCAAAAAAATTCCTTCGACCACCACACCCAGGGCCACTCAAACTATATTCATCTCTAGACCACCAGTGCAGGACAGTCGCACAGAATATGTATGGCCGCCTCTTCATCATCGTCTTGATTAAATCTGCACAAAAGGGATTCCGATTTGACCAGTTTGTGCCAATGAAGAACAATGCTAAGTGAAGAAGCCAGCAATAGCACGGTTCCGACCCATCCCTCTGAGCTCTGAGAAGAGCTTTATTTCAACAAAAAAAAATTTCCTTGAACAAGATAAAAGGAACAGTTTCGCATGATGACGTCCGTCAGTACCGTCCCAAGGAAGGTTCGATGTCTTCTCTAGCAGAACGCCAAATCTGCCCCTAATGGCAGACATTTACAGTCAGAAGATGCAGGCCTCAAATCTCCTCCACGCAAACTCTTTAACATGTTCGTCGCTCCTGTACCGCGGTTGCTTGGCACTTGAGCGTCACTCCGTTTGCTGATGATGCTCTGTATCCCCCCAGTGCGGACACATAGTTTCAAACCAGTTTGCACTAATTGGAGCGCCAACAATCCCATTCTGCTGTAAAGCACGTAGAGAGTACGATTTTTATATCCCCTTTCTAGGTTCACTTTCGAGCATATCTCTACCGCATATATTTCAACTTGAAACGCCGAGGGGTACATCGGTCCGCACCCCGTACAAGCTCATCCCCGACTGCATTTTTGAGTCTCCAAGTCTTAAAATTAAACCATCTCACATAAGTTTGTTTGAAATATTAAGTTTGCTCAATAAGTTTCAATCGTTTACATTATTTGATTTCCACCCAGATAATCGAAAGATGGACACCAAAACCAATTCTGTTCATAATTAATCATGGTTTCAAAATACCATTCCAAACGATAATAAAGTAAGCAATTTAAATTAAAAAATATTATTTGATTTTGCAGTTTTGATGCGATTCAATCACAAACCGGTTAGAAATCTAATAGAATTACCTCACTACTTTTTACCTGATTCTTCAAAATATCCCTATTTCAATGATCATTATTCTATTCTAAATTTTACAAATTCTCCTTCATTCTAACGATTTTCCGCAAAATACGACTACTCAACAAAAACTGAAAGTACAATGAAAACATGCAAAAAAATCTTCTAATTTTTTGGTTTGATTTCTTTTGTTCTCTTCTTTCGTATAGAAATACCACAAGAACGAGATTTAATAGAGTGCTACAAAATACAAACAACAAAAAATTTTAAGAATTTCTGAAGAATTTCTCAGCAAAACCCCCTTTACTTACCACTACAACACTATTTAAGCTTACATAAAAAATGTTACGTTGCTCTCCGCTGTAATATGTTCCAGATAACAATCAACGACTGTTGAAAATTTAATAAAAAAAAAACAAATTAAAATACATAAAGAAAAAGTACAAAAAGGGGTGAACAGAAAATCAAAATAGGAATGATTTGTTTTCATCCCCTTCCTTGTAACTACTATTGAATTAACAAGGAAAATGAAGTACTAATGAAAAAGTAACAAGAGAATCA